TCTGGCCTCCAGCGACCTGTGCGCCTCAGCCTCCCAACGTGTTCAACTGTCTCTTAACTAAAAAGTTACCTACTCTGTATCAGGCACCTTACACACTTTATCTCTGTTATCTTCAAAACTGTAAAAATTAAATTAGGATTTGTGGGCCAGGCACAGTGGCCGACACATGTAATCCCATCACCTTGGGAGGCTGAGGCAGGAGGACTACTTCCTCTCAGGTGTTCAAGACCAGCCTGGGTAACAAAGTGGGACCTCATCTCTACAAAAAAGAAATTAAAAACTAGCCAGCATGGTGACACATGCCTGCAGTCCCAGCTATTCGAGAAGCTGAGACAGAAGGATCACTTGAGCTTGGGAGGTCAAGGCTGCAGTAAGCCATGATCAGGCCGCTGTACTCCACTATCGGCCATGACAGTGAAGCTCTATACCAGGAACTTATGTACCAGGAAATGGGCTTTCTTTGCATCATCTCACTTAATCCTTTCATCAACCTTATGAGGCAGGAGTATTTATATCCATTTTTCAGATGAGAACAAACATACTCAAAGAGGTCAAGGCATTTGACTTTAGGTTTCAAGCCAGATCCGCCTGACTAAAGCCTGTTCTCCTGTTTCTAAGCAGCCTTTATAAAAAACAGCTCCGACATTTGAGGGAGACCCCTGCCCCAAGCTATGAAAGGGGGACCAGCCACTGGCCTTCACTCACACTGGTAGCACTCAGCCTGGCCGCTCTGCAGTATGATGGCCAGCACCAGCGTGAGCTGTGGTGTTGTCTCCAAGAAGGTCTCGAAGAGCCGCAGCATGCTGATGTCCAGGGAGAGGAAGTCCGTGTAGGCCAAGTCAAACTCAGAGGGCTCCTCCTGCCGCCACACCAGCAGCCCCTGCTGCAGCCCCTGCATGCACCTAGGCAGCACACACAGATGCCCAGAGGGCCAGGTTAGTGTCCTGTGAAGTCCTCGGCCTCCCATCCATCTAATGAATGTACACAGGCCCCAACCCGGCTCCTTGCATCGATGCTATAGGGCCTTTGGCAGTGTTCTAACCTCACTGAACTTGTTTCATCTGTAAAATGGGGATCAATACACCTTCTACTCCTGCTGGCCTGGTGCTGCCCCAAGCTCATCACATTGTCCTGTTTACTTCTCACAATAGCCCATTTTACAATGGAAAAACAGAATCAAGAAGCTAATAAGGGCTGGGTGCAGTGGCTCGAGCCTATAATCCCAACACTTTGAGAGGCCAAGGCAAGAGGATCACTGGAGGCCAGGAGTTTGAGATTAGCCTGGGCAACACAGCAAGCCCTATCTCTACCAAGAATTTTTTTTTAATCAGTTGGGCATGGTTTTGCGAGCCTATAGTCCAAGCTACTTAGGAGGCCGACGCAGGAGGATCACTTGAGCCCAGAAGTTCAAGGCCACTGTGAGCTATGATTGTGCCACTGCATTCCAGCTTGGGCAACAGAGACCTTGCCGCTTTTTTTTTTTTTTTTTTTTTTTTTTCAGGGACTGCTTCTGTCACCTGTTGCCCAGGCTGAAGTGCAGTGGCACAAACGTGGCTCACTGCAACCTCTACCCCCCAGATTTAAGCAATTCTCCTGCCTCAACTTCCTGAGTAGCTGGGATGTTGGGATTACAGGCGTGCACCACTACACCTGGCTAATTTTTGTATTTCTAGTAGAGATGAGCTTTTGCCATATTCAGCAGGCTGGTCTCAAACTCCTGACCTCAAATGCTCCTCCACCTCAGCCTCCCAGACTGTTGGGATTACAGGCGTGAGCCACCATGCCTGGCTAGATCCTACCTCTTTAAAAAAACATTCTCTTTGTGTAGTCTGAAAAAAAAAAATTATAAGCAGCTATTAAGTACTGGAATGAGGATTTAGATCCAAATGGAAAGGTGTGCTATAAAGTTGCCTGAGGCAGTTCTCAAACTTTAGTGTGCCCAAGATCTCCTGGGATCCTGTGGGCAAGAGGAGCCACTGGGCACTTCTGGGCACAGACCAGATGGGGTCAGACTCTGCCTTACCCTGGCCACACAGGGGAGGAGCTGGAGGAGGGTTAGATTGGAAGGAGGTATCCCATTTAAGAGGCTGGCCCTGAGTGGTTAAGGATGGAGATTGGGGCAGAGTTAAGAGAGTACAGAGGTTGGACAGACAGGCCTGGGGTACCCACTGGGATGAAGAGTAAGTGGAAGATGCACCAAGGACCATCCACTCAGAACTTTGCTCTAGGTTGCCTATTGGGAGGAAACCCTGTTGACTCATCACAAGCTCACTCACCAGACATTTACTGTCCCTTCCCCTGGATAGACCAGAGCACACTGAGGAGCAGGCAGGCGGGGTGGACTGGGGCTCTCCCTCAGCAGAGAGGTTCCCCAGTGGCCTGGCACGGGCCCCTGCCTCAGCCTAGTCACAGGTAGAAACAGAACCCCTGTTTCCAAAGCCAAAGCCAACACAGTCTGTCTGACTCAAGCGCAGCAGAAATCCAGGCAGCAAGATGCATGAGGTTGTCCAGGATTGAGGGCTCATCAGGCCTGCCCAGGACTTAACAACTGCATCCCTTCATGCCCACCCAGGGTTTTCTCTACAATCCCTCAGGCAAAAACTGTCACGGTCAAAGCTCCTCTCCTCTACTCCTGGAGACCCCATGCAGCTTTGTCAAGGCAAGATCTCAAGACTTCGTAAAAACAGATTCAAGAGCAGATCCTGACCCAGCCACCCTATCCCAACCGACACACCCTATGCCCTGGCTTCATCGCATGCCTCTGAGCCCCATCTCTACACGGCTCCACCAGGTCCAAAAAGGAGCAGAATCCACACACATTTTCTATGACCCAGCTGTGCCCAACCCTGGCTGGCTCCATGGGCCCACGCCCATGAGTTGGAGGCCATCTCTGCCCTCTTGCTGAATCTGGGGTGGGAAGTCAAGGTTCAGGGAGAATAAAACCGGGCAGACAGAGCAAGAGGCGGCCTTTGTGAGGGACAAGCCGTGGGGTCAGGGCTGCTGAAACTCCTAGTAAGGCCCAGGTCATCACGAAGTGAGCTGAGGTTGCTGAGTGCTCACTCTGAGCCAGGGCAGTAGACAGGAGTCATTTCACTTCATCTTCACCAGGCAGGCACTATTCTGTCCCCACTGGAACAGCAACCAAACAGCCCCACTGAGAGGTCAGTGACTTCCCAAGGCCCTGCCCATTCTGAAACATGGGGTGTGGAACTGAATGTGCTGCCCCTGCCATTCCAGGCCGGACACTGTGCAAGGCACTTTCTCACTCTCACTCACTCCTCACAACAGGCTGCTTGTCACACCTGCTTGGGGTGACTACCTCCTTTCTGTGGAGGAGGAAACTGAAGTTTAGAGAAATGCAGACGTGGGGCAAAGCCATAAGTGGATCCCAGAGAAGTCTGACTTCGAAGCCCATGTGCCTCTCTTTCTTACCTGGGCCTCAGTTTCTTCACCTGTGCCAGGAAAAGTAGGGCTAGGATAAAGGCAGTCTACTGTGATTCTCTTTCTGTAAAGGGCTGCACGCTCACCTGTAGGCCAGGCAACCACAGGACTTGGTTCCTTCTCCCTGTCACTTTCCCAGCATCTGGTGTGTCACCTGTACACTCAGAGAGGTCAAGGCATTTGTCCAAACTCACACAGCTGCAGAGTGACTTAAGGTTTCAAGCCAGATCTGCCTGACTAAAGCCTGTTCTGTTTTCTAAGCTTCTTAGTACAGGTGACCCAGTGACGGAGGTGCTGGGCTCTGATCCTCCTCCCCTCCCGGGGCGGGGCACTCACCTGTACAGGTAGCCCAACTGCAGGAGATGCAGCAGCGCCAGGCAGCGGCGCGGGGGCTGCGACCCGTGCAGGTCGGCGGGGTCGCCGCGCAGCCAGAGCCAGCTGAAGAGCTGCATCGCCACCGAGGCCAGCCCCAGCAGCGCCAGCACCAGACCCGCCCACAGGTAGCGGCCGCCGAGCGCATACTGGACGGCAGCCCACAGGTCTGCGCCCAGGTCGAGCAGGAAAGCGGCGGTGCCCAGTACGCCCAGTACCAGGTCCCAAAGGAGGGCGGGGCGGGACGACCCGGGCATGGCCCGGCAGCTTCTGCCTCCTCCACCTCCTCTGCGGTTGGGGCCTATCCTCTGGGCCGGGGGTTGCAGTGGCAGGAAGGAGGCGGACGCAGCCCTCGGGGCTGTGAAGGGCCCGGGCCTGCTGGGCGGGACTTCCCCGTCCCGCCCCGTCCGGGGAGGAGCGAGGCCTGCGGCTCTCTCAGGTCCCCAACTCAGACCCTCCCGTAACCCAAGGCCGCCGAGACTCTGCTTCCGCCGCCTGCCCGGGGGACCCCTGACCCAGCTCAGCCAAGCCTGCAGACCAACCGATCTTCGCTTGGCAGGCTTCAAACGGCCTAGTTTTACGTTTGAGGCGCCCGGAGGCCCAAGAAAGCTAAGAGGGCGAGAGCCCAAGCTAGGACTTCGATCCCTCACACCAGCATTGTTGCAAAACAAAGCAACGAAACGCAAAGGCACAGTCTCATCCCTAAGTGCAGGACTTTGCAACAATGCGTGCGCCTGGATCGGGAGATAAGCGGAGGGCACTGGGAGGCTGAGTTCACGCCAACGATCCGAGTGGGGGGAGGGGAGGGCGTTCGGTTCCAGAGAATGCGTTAACCTCATTTCCATACGTAAAGGAATACAGGCCTGGCGCAGTGGCTCAGGCCTGTAATCCCAACACTTTGGGAGGCCCAGGCAGGCAGCTCACCTGAAGTCAGGAGTTCGAGCCAGCCTCACCAAGATAGCAAAACCCCGCCTCTATTAAAAATACAAATTAGTTGGGCGTGGTGGCACGCGCCTGTAATCCAGCTACTAGGGAGTCTGAGGCAGGAGAATTGCTTGAACCCAGGAGGCGGAGGTTGCAGTGAGCCGAGATCGCACCACTGCACCCTAGCCTGGGCGATAAAGGGAGACTCTGTCTCAAAAGAAAGAAAAGAAAAAAGAAGAGAAGATAAGGAATACAACACAGAATCAAACCTACAATGAGCTTTGTTTTGTGAATAAAACATAAAACACAAAAGAAATGTGCTTCTGGGGGGGGTCTTGGGACTTCATTTCTGTTTCTGGTTTGTTTTGGGAGAGGGTCTGGCTCTGTCGCCCAGGCTGGAGGGCACTGGCGCGATCACGAATCACTGCAGGCTCCTGGGGCTTCACTCCCTGAACTGTTGTCCTATTTAAGTTCACTCCGCAGGCGCAGAGGAAATGGCAGAAAGCCCAGCTCTGGATGGTCCTGGGCGCTATCCCCGTTACCCATTACCAGGAGGAATGTGAGCCCGGTGGGTCACAGCGCTAGCGTGCACAGGCCCAGCAGGGCCGCCAGCAGCAGCGGGAGCTGGGGCATGGGGTCGGTGCCCGAGGCATACAGGCAGGCAGTGTAGGCATCGAAGTCCACCTGACGCATGGCACACACATGCTGCGTACTGCAGGCCTCATCGCAGATCCCAGCATCGTAGCTGACCGAGTTGTAGGCATAGTAGCGCTGCAGTGCGCCCTGGTCGCTGGCAATGCGATCCAGCGCTGCCTCCATGGAGCGGGCGCTGGCGTCCGGCACCCCGAAGGCCTCGGTCAGCCGGTACTCGAGCTCCCAGCGCGGCTTCCCCAGAGCATTCGCCTGGCTCAGGTTCATAAAGTAAGTCACCATGTCCTGGAGAAACGGTGCGGGGTGGGCCGGCTGTGAGCAGCTGTCTGTTTCCATCCTCATCCTGCACCTCACATTTGCCCCCATGTTCTTTAGAGCAGTGATCATGACCACTGCAAGTTATTGAGCATTTAGCTGCGCACCCAGTGTGCTTGGCAGATATCCTCTGAATCGAATGAGGTAACTGCACTTATTTCCCCCATTTCACAAATGAGGAAACTGAGGTCTAAAGAGGTTAACTCACTTGGCCAAGGTCATAGAGGTATTCAGTGGCAGAGACAGGATTGGAACCCAGGTTGTTTACCCCAAGCCTGTGCATTTCCTGTCCCACCACGATAGGGGACACACAGAAGATGCTCAGTAAATATTTACATAATGAATAGATAAAAGCAATGTAAAAGAGCAGCATGAAGCATGAGAGGCTGAGAGAGGTTAAACTGTAGACTCCCAGGGCCCAGGTGCATGTTCATGGCTAGACTCTGCAGGGTTGATCAGTCCAACAGATTCCAGGTACATTTATGAACCTGCTTCAGGCCACTGCAGATGGGATAAAAGGAGCTACCCGTATGAATGGCCACTTTGGGTCAGGCACATTCCATTGTTTCAGGTAGTCTTCCCCAAACCCTGTGAGCTTCTGTGACTCCCATTTTACAGATGAAGCAAGTGAGGCACAGAGTTTAAAAGCTCCAAAAGCTTGTCAGTGGTAGAGCCAGGATTCAACCTTAGGGCTGACTCCCTCCCTGAGAAGAATGTAGGTCCTGTTTGAGGGTGGGGGTTGGGGTCCCTCAGCCTGCTCAGACCCTCATTCCCTTGCTCAGACCCTCGGAGTGCCCATGTGGACAACAGCCCTCTCTTATAACCCCTCCGATCTCTTCTTAATCTACATTTACTAGAATCAAGGACCTGGGTTAGCTCATCCAGCCCCTGGCTTGAAATGTCCTCTCCACTCCCAGATCACATCTCTGTCCTCAGCTCCTCAAGCTCCAACTTACCCCCTCCCTGGCCACTTTCATTTGATGCCATTTAGCCATCCCAAAGTTGAAAGGTCTAAAACCAGACCTCTGACTGACCTTCTGAAGCTTGATCACCCTGCCACTGATTTTAGTAACCAGCAGCCACGGCCTTTCCATTGCACAGGCCAAAGCCTTGGAAGCCTCCTGTATTCATCCCTTTCTCTCACAGCCCACATCCACTCTAGCAGCAAACCTGCCTCCAAAATTCATCCCGGTCCCGGCACTTCTCACCACCCACTGCCTCCACCCTCGCCAAGCCACCATCCTGTCAGCTGGGGTTTGTCCTTCCCTCCTAAGTGCCTCAGTGCTTCCCTGCCTACCCCTACGGCCTGTTCCCTGCACGGCAGACATGATGATTCTGTAAAATTATGTCACAGGATTTCATTCTTCATCCTCCAAATCCAGAGTCCTCATTGCGGCCTGCAAGATCTGACCTCCTTTCCCACTCTCCCCTGTGCCTCCCACTGTGGCCACCTGGTCTCCATGCTCTTCCCCTGACCCACCAAGCACATTCCCACCCTGCAGCCTCTGACTTGCTGTTCCCTCCACCTCCTCCGGATACCCACATGACTCACTCCCTCAATACACTCAGAACTCAAATGGCACCTTATGTGGACACTTTCCCCTGCCCACCTACCTAACACAATACACACCTCTCATAGCTGTCACTGTTTTGATTTTCTGCTTAGCCCTTCTGTCTGTGCCATAATTAATTTTACATATTTATTGTTCCTCTCCTGTAAGATGTCAGGTTCAAGAGAGGGGTGACTTTGCTGTGTACATTTACATACCTCCTGAGATTAGAAAAGGGACTGGCACATGGTGCAGACTTAATGCATTTTGTTGGCTAAATAAAGGAATACTTTTTTTCATCTCAACAACCACAAGTTCATCTTAAGAGGTGAGGGATTGTTCGATGAATTAGGGGCTGGAGTCTTGTCTGTGTATGGAAAAGGTGGACAATGGGCTTGAGGTCAGACTGTGGGAAGCCTTGAGTACTACGCCAAAGAGACACAACTTTACCTTGAGGGCACTGGGGAGCCACTGAAGGTTTTTGAGCAGGACAGAAACAAGATGAAAGTGGTGCTATAGAAGATTAGTTTCTTCTGTCATGTGTAGCAGATGGGCCATAGCAGGGCAGGGCCGGAGGCAGGGAGTCTAGGTATGAGGCTGTGACAGTCATCAGGGGAAAAGGAGACTTGAGGAAACATTGCCCTGACTTGGTGGCAGGTGCCTCCAAGGTTCTGATCCTGAGTTGGAGAAGGGTGGCGGGAAATCGACCTTCCTGAGGCTCAGTGGTCAGGGGAGGGTGGATAACTGAGAGTTAGGGAAGGCAGTGATACATTTAAGCTCCTCCAGCCCTCCTCCTCTGGCCCCCACAAGACCACTGACCTTCAGGCTCAGTGTGGCTCGGTCGTATTCGAATACCCGGATGGCTGGATTGTTGGCCCCATTAATCACTCCAGGTAATGTGGTTTTCCATGGGGTGACTCCAGGTGTGATGAACATGGCGCTTATGGGGGCACCTGTCAGGAGAGAGACAGCAGGACTGAGAGGGTCTGGGGAGGGAAGGAGGTACAGAGCTGCCAGTTGCCCTCCAGGCTGAATACCTGCATCATCATAGAGCATCCGAAAGCTGTCGGTGTGGTGGTGCCCGAAGAACTGCCCTGCTATGACACGATGATGCTTCTGCACCACCTTCAGGTACTTATCGTTGAAGCCCTCCCGGAACCATGCCTTGTTTTCCGTCTTTTCGAAGAACCCCGGGGGCACGTGGCCAACAATGTACACCTACAAGGGGGTGGTTTTCAGAAGGGGCTCACAGATGCTCTCTCCAGCCCCTCATTTCTACTTCTTAAAACCTGCAAATCACCCCAAAGGTAGGTAGATGTGCTCAAATGTGTCTCTTCTCCAAAGGCCTCCTGGATTCCATTCCCTTTCCCAACTTCGTGCCTGCCACCTAGAGAACCCTTCTCCTTTTCACTTCTGTAAATCCCCCCCATACTTGAAAACCTAACTCAAAGAGCACCTCCTCCATGAGGCCTTCCAAAATCCTTCAAAAACTACTCTTCTCTTGGAGAGCTTGGGCTCTGAAATGAAACCATTCTTGCATGGTTGTGTGGCATATGCTACATGGTAATGTGCATTCATGTCTTACATTTCTTGAGTCACTCAGCTGACAACACCTGGGCACTTGGCCACCATGGCAGTTAGAACAGGGGACAGGGTTAAGTGCATGGGTTTTGGAGTCAGACTGTGGCTTAGACCAGCTGTGTGTCACCTCTCTGAGCTGCTCTCTTCTCATCTGGAATAGCATCTAGCTGGTGGGGTTTTGAGACCAATGGACTCATTCCTGAGCCAGGGTTTCCATAGTTCTGCTACCTGAGATCATCTGTATAACGTCCTAAGCAACGTGCCCAATGTTGTCACAGGCACCAGCTGTGATATCCTCCTGGCATGGGCAGATCAGTGCAAAGACTCAAGCAAATGAGACACTGGGCCAGTCCTTGAGGAGCTGTCAGGCCAGCAGACTAGCTGGACACGCTTAAGGGCTGTGCATCCCCTGGAGGTCTGGCACACAGTGCGGACTGCAGCTGTGCATGTGGTAGCAGTGTAAAAAAAGGGCACTGGACTTGGAGTCTGAAGGCTGGTATTCCAATCTGGGCTTTATCACTTATTATGTGATTTGGGACTGTCACCACTCTTTATGAGCCTCAGGGCCCTCATCTGCAGTAGGCTCCGGATCCCAACCCACAGAGCTGTGGTGAGGATAGAGGAAGCTCTCTGCTGGTGCTGGGCTGATAAAGGACCCTCTGGGATTGGGCATCTTTGGGTGGGTGAGTTTGTGCCAAGCAGGAGACTTGTGCAGGAAATAACCCCAGAGGAGAAAAGAAAGAAGCAGGAGCTCTTACCATGTCCCCAGCTTTGGATGCATTGGTCAACACATCTTCCAGCCACTGGAACTGCTGGCCGGGGTCCGCCATGTCTGCTGTCAGTGCATTGCTGGTGTAGTATAGATTGGTGTTGAGGACCACGATTCGCCCAGACCCGCTGGGACCCGGCAGCTTCTCAGAGTAGAAGGCACCTAGGATGTCACAGCCAGGGACAATATGGAGGAGGCCCCCACCTCTGGTCAGACAGACTTCTGCTCCTTCCACCTCGCTGTCCCACTTTCTTTTTCCATTGCATCTTTCCCTTCCTTCTTTCCCATAGGTGGGACATTGATCTGGAAGACCAGAGGCTCTGGAACCAGGAGGCCTGGATTCAAATCCTGGCTCTGGAACTCATTCACTCTGCAACTTGGGAAAGTAACTTCACCTCTCTATGCCTCAGTTTCCTTATCCGTATAGTGAGAATAACAGTGATGTGTGTTTGCCCATCCAGATCCACTGTCAACCCTTCACCACTCAGCTGTCTTTTCCAGGAGCTGATCTACATGGACTAAATCAACAGGCTTCTGTGCCACAGGCTTCTGGTTGGCTTTGACCACTAGGGAGTCCCAACAGAGGAGACCAAGGAAAGAGAAGAGTACGGTCAACGTCACCTTGTGCTGGCTGTGTTTCTGGACCGGTCATTCTCAACCAGGTACTTCTGGTACCAGGGAACACTGGGCAATGTCTGAGACATTTCTGGTTGTTACAACTAAGGGTGTTCCTGGTGTGTCACTTTAGTGGGTGTTTGCAACATTCTGCAACACACATAGCAGTCCTTGGTGACAAAATCACCCAGCCCACTATGTCGGTGGTGGCAACGTTCAAACCTGCTGGAGGTGAAACCACTCCTTCCAAGGGCTGTTGTGTGTTGTGAAGTGTCTAGGACTGGGCTGAGGGTAGTGCCTGACACACAGTGCCTGCACAATACATATGGACTTAAGAGCATCCTTAGTGCCCTGGCATTTAGAGCAAGGGCTTTGGAGTTAGTTCTGCATTCTGCTTCCAAGGCTGCCTTTTCTAAGCTGTATGCTCCTGGCCTCCTTCTCTGTAAATTGGGGATGAAATCAGTACTTATTTTAAGATGTTGTGAAGACAAAGATCAGACCCTGGCATACAGTAAGATAGTAGCAAATGGTGTTAGTACCTTTTTTGAAGAGAGCGACGGACTCGTTACTAAGCCAGGGTTTCCATAGTTCTGCTATCTGATTGTAGATCTTGTTACTTCCAACTGGAAACTGGTTTTTGGGGTGAAAGTCATGATTTCCTAAAGCAGCATAGACGTTAGTATCTGAGAAGAAAGGGGGAAATATCAAAATATATATGCAAAAGCACTCAGGGGAGTTAATCATTTTCTGTTGGCCACTGGCCATCAGAGCTTAGGGGGAAGAGCTATAGCACAGATGAGGGAAAAGACACAGATAAGAAACCCACATTTGATACAATCTGGCTGAACTTTTCTTAGACTTTGGGAGGAAGAGCAGTGAGTGCTTTGATCGCAATCCCTACACCCATTCCCAGCAGAAAGTGTCCTGGTTAGAAGTGAGGTAGCAAATGATGAGAAGGGGAAAACTAGGTCTAAATGATTCTGATCATTCTCAGCCACTTGGTAATTTAGTGTTCCCAATTCTTGTCGATTCCAGATCCATCTTACTGTTAGGGAAGGGGTCTGCTTCACTCTGAGAGGCCTTAGGAGTTTCACTCATCCATGCAGCCAGCAAATGTTTTATTGAACACCTACTATGAGCCAATGCATAGAGCTGGAAACCAGGCATCCAGCCCCAGAGGTCTTACAGTTCAATAGAGTTGACAGGTATTGAGCAGAGGTGTAAGAGATGTCACAAAAAAGGAATGGCCACTTGTTATGGGAGTGATAACAGAGGGTAGAAGTGGGTTTGGGGAGGCCTCCCTGAGCAAGGGGCCTGTGAATGAGTCCTGGAGGTGTGAGGGCACCCATTAGACTCATTTCCTCCACATGAACAGCCTCATTCCTGCTTTTATTTTATGCTCTGTGTCTGGCGCCTAGTTGGTGCTCAATAAATATTTGACAATGAACAAAAATTCCTCTTGGGTTCAGAACAGGGCAGTGCCCTTATATGAGCTTGGTCTATCCTAGGGAGTGACCCGGAATAATGAGGGAGGCTGGAGCCTACCATTCTGGATGGGAAATAATTCTAACTTCCCCCTTTGCCCTGTGTAGCCTAGGAGACCTGGGAATGCTGAGAACTCCCAAAGTAGGAGGTTGGCAAATGCATCACTGTAACTGCCTAGAAAAATCTCACCTCTCAAAGTAAATGCCAGCAGCCATTAAGAATCCATTTAAGGCCAGGCGCGGTGGCTCCTACCTGTAATCCCAGCACTTTGGGAGGCCAAGGCGGGCGGATCATGAGGTCAGGACTTCAAGACCAGCCTGACCAATATGGTAAAACCCTGTCTCTACTAAAAATACAAAAATTGGCCAGGTGTGGTATTGCATGCCTATAGTCCCAGCTACTCAGGAGGCTGAGGCAGGAGAATCACTTGAACCTGGGAGGTGTGGAGGTTGCAGTGAGCCAAGATCGTGCCACTGCACTCCAGCCTGGGTGACAGAACAAGACTCTGTCTCAGAAAAAAAGAATCTATTTAAGAAAAAAAAAACAAAAAAAAACAGACCTCTGAATCCCAAGGGCAAGTGAGAAGCGAAGGACTCGCTCCTGTGTTTTTACTTCTGTGTGCCCAGCTCCCTGCAAACATAAGCTCCATGAGGGTATGACCTTGTATCTTGTTTATTGCCATGTCTTCTACTCCTGGAATGGTGTCTCACCCATAGTAGATGCTCAATAACTATTTGTTGATTGACTAAATGAGTGAATGAATTACGTTATTTAATCCTCATAACAACCCTATGGACAGGTACCTTATTTTCCATTTTCACAGGGAGAAGACTGAGTCTTTATGAGATTACCCAGCTAAACCATAGCAGAGCTAGAATTAGGCCCTGCATGACAGTGTCTTGCTCTGTCGCCCAGGCTGCAGTGCAGTGGTGTGATCATAGCTCACTGTAACCTCAAACTCCTGGGCTCAAGTGATCCTCCTGCCTCCCAAGTAGGCAGTCTCCCAAGTAGCTAAGACTACAGACATACGCCACCACACTGGCTAATTTTTTTATTTTTTGTAGAGGCAGGGTCTTGCTGTTTTGTCCAGGCCAGTCTCAAACTCCTGACCTCAAGCAGTCCTCCAGCCTTAGCCTCTCAAAACGCTGGGTTTACAGGCATGAGTCACTGCACCTGGCCCAGGGCCCTGGATTTGTTTGTCTTGCATGCCTGTGTTGTCAATCACTTGGCTGTGCTGGCGAGGTGGGGACCGGTGTTCACAGCCAACTCTGGTGGGTAAAGTCAAACACGGCAGGAAGAACATATATGTGGAACCCCGTATCTCGAGTTTTAGTCCCTTCCTCTCCTCAGGCTACTTACTCAACCCCTCTGTATTTCAGTTTAATTATCTATAAAATGGGAGTGTTCTCTTTGACTTTTGTTTTTGTAATTCTCAACTAGATAATACCTGCATTTCATCTCTTCCAATTTGTTCTCATATTATCATCTCTAAAAGTGAGGTGTGGCCATGAGAAAGCGCTGTGTCAGATTATAATTGGTAGCTGTTTTTTCTTAGTTATACATAACAATGCATCTTTCAGCCAATGGCATCTCGGATATTAGGAAATTCCATAAATGTGTAAGTGTGGTAGAAAATACAAAATCTTGTCATTTACATTTGTGTGTTAAATCATAGTCAATAGGCCAGGCGTGGTGGCTCATGCCTGTAATCCCTGCACTTTGAGAGGCTGAGGTGAATTACTTGAGCCTAGGAGTTTTCAAGACCAGCCTAGGCAACACAGCAAGACTCCTATCTCTACAAAAAAAAATGAAAATAAGCTGGGCACAGTGGCTCACGCCTATAATCCCAGCACTTTGGGAGGCAGAGGCAGGCAGATTACTTGAGGTCAGGACTTTGAGGCCAGCCTGGCCAAGATAATGAAACACTGTCTCTACTACAAATACAAAAATTAGCTGGCCATGGTGGCAGGTCCAGCTACCTGGGAGGCTGGGGCAGGAGAATCGCTTGAACCCACGGGCGTGGAGGTTGCAATGAGCTGAGATCACACAATTGCACTTTAGCCTGGGTGACAGAGCAAGACTCAGTCTTAAAAAAAAAAAATGAAAATAAAAATAATTAGCAGGGTGCGGTGGCGTGTGCCGTAATCCCAACTACTTAGGAGGGTGAGATGGAAGGATCACTTGAGTATGGGAGGTGGAGGCAGCAGTGAGCCTTGATCATGCCTCTGCACTCCAGCCTGGGTGACAGCAAGACCTTGTCTCAAAAAACAAAACATAGTTAATAAAGCATTTTCTTATCCATTATTTGACTTGTGTTCCAGAAACCCCATGTGAAGCAAAGGAGAGGTACTTCCAGTTGGATCTGAGTCTGAGTCCCTCCATAGGTTCCTTTTCTATACGTTGAGAATAATAGTGCCTGCTGCTGGGGTGGGGGAATGTCCTGGCTTGACCCTAACTAGTGACCCCTGCTGGAAGACGAAGGAAACCAAGCAGACTGAGTTGTGTTGGGTTGGGGTAGATAAACTGGAAGCATCCAGGCATCTCTTTGCCTAGATTGACTTGTTTTGAGGGAAGGAAGCGGTGGGAACAGACAGTAAAGACAGTGCTCACACCAGGATTTGGGTCCCTTAAGTAAATGTGACCTTCACTAGTTTACTAAGCCCCAAGGCTCACTCGCCTAATCAGAAAAATTTAGGTCACAGCGCTTCCCCCAAGGATTATGGTGACAGTGAAGGAGCTAAGGTTTGAAAATTCTTGGCCGGGCATGGTGGCTCATGCCTGCAATCCAAGCACTTTGGAGGCCAAGGCGGGCGGATCACCTAAGGTCAGTAGTTCAAGACCAACCTGACCAACATGGTGAAACCCTGTCTTAAAAAAAAAAAAAAGAAATTAGAGCCAGCCTGACCTTTTGCACTTGATACAGAGTGACTGCTGCTGCTGCCATTATTTATTTTGATTGTGCTGCCATTATTTATTTTATTATTTCATAGCTGTGTCCTGGGGACCCATGATGAAGATCTTTAGAGGGAGCAGCTGTCCCGGAACCCAAAGGAGGTGGGTGTGGTGGTGGGGGGGCCTGCGCTGCTTTCTCAGGTGCCCAGTTGGCAGCCTGGCAGCCTGATTTAGCCTCCAGGATGTTGTTTTGGTGCAGCCTGCTATAAAACATTTGCAAGGGCCATTAGATTGAGGCATGCAGACCCTATAGACCCCATAGGGCTGCTGCCTCACTCACCCCCAGTCCCTGCTGCCTGCTTTGCCAGGCTCTGAAGGCCTTGGAAGCAACAAGAAACAGCACCTTGGCTGGAAATCACCATTTCCCAGAGGTCCTGGCAGCCAGGACAGTTTGAGGGTGATGGATGCCAACTCCAGAGCCAGAGCAGGATACAAGGCAGTGTGTGAGACTTACCCAGGGGTGACCCCTGTGTGCAACTCTAGACACCTGGAGAATGGTTCATGAGTCTGGTGATAAACAGGCAGAAGCAGAAGGCAGTGAAATGCCAGGCATTTTCTTTCATAGGATTCTGTGTGTATCCACAGGCCCATGGGCTTGCAGGTTGCCTTTGGGCCTGTTAGGAAGGTGTGAAATGGTCACTGTGAAGACCTGGCCAACAGTCATCACTGTCCATAGATGAAGGGCAGCCGGAACACTCGCTGCTGCTGTTGTCCCACCGTGCAGTGCCTGGGGTTCAGAGAACACTGTGGAGGGACCAATGGCACAGTCTTACCTGGAAAGACCTCTCTGATGAGCTTGGTCAGGCGTTCCACAATTTCTAGTACAGCTGCCTCTCCCAGTTTCTCGTCGGGCACATGAGGTGTGTCATCGCTGCAAAACACCACCAAGCCAATTTGGGGCAGGTAACTCAGGAAGGGGCAGAAGAAAAGGAAAGGACAGTTCTGCAGTGAGAGGTGTCCCCTTGAGGGGGAATGGCCAGGCTAGAGTGGAGTCAGATGGGACAGAGCTGAGACCTGGGCTTTGCCATTTTCCTGCTGTGGGTCCCTTGACTGGTTGTTTAACCTCTCTGAGGCTCTATTATAAACTCATCTGTAACATTGGGATAATACGGTTCTTACTCACAGAGTGTTTGTGAGGTATCCATCAAGGGAGGAAAATTATATACATAATATAGTGCAGTAAGAGTAGCTGCTAGGTTATAATGAATATTATTATTTAGAGAGGGAAGCTCTGGAGTGCCAGTCCCATCTGCAAACCCCAAGGGAGTTCACAGTTGAGAAGCCATCTCTGAATTCTGTTCCTTTCCCTAAGAGTTCAAGGGAACTTTAAGCTAGCTTCAGAGTGTAGGGTTCAGATCTTTTCCAGGACAGGTACAGAATCTGCCCCAGGACCGCTGTGCCCCCCATGCCATGAATCTCAATTCTTGGGTCTACTTTAGACATGCTCGGCAAGGGGAGGAGAATGGTGGCAGATAAAGTGTAGGGATGGGGAGAAAATCGAAACCCTGAGGCCTCTGCTGCCCAGGAACTCGCCCAGGGAAGCTAACTAGCATTATAGTATGAGTGCTGCTGCTAGGAGCTCACACCAGCTGACTTTCTGCCAGGCACTTTCTGTGTGTTGTTGCCGTAGCCACTAATTTGTCCCCATTATAACCCTGCAATGTAAGTTCTATTGTTAGATTAGGCCCATTAGACAGATAAAAAAAACCAAGACACAGAAAGGTTAAGAACTGTGCGTGTCCTGAATCAAGCAACAGAGACAGGGGAGAAAAAAATTGTGCCTAAGTGTATACCACTAGAAAGTAGTGGGGCCAAGATTTGAACCCAGTCAGCCTGGCCCCAGAGTCTATGCTCACAGCCGTTGCATCCTATTGTGTATCTGGTACCCACATTAGGGCAGCAAGAGGGCCTGTTTTGCCCTGAAAACTCGCTGGGGACAGGCCAGAAACCCAAAGACAGAAGGACAAAATTTCATATTTTTTATTTCTAGATTGGAGGATCTAATTCAATCTGATAAAAAAAAAAAAAAAAAACACCTAATTTCTAATGACCATCCTCCAAGGGACTGCAGCTCCCTTAGAAGTCAAATTTCATTATAATTGAATAATTGTAAAGGGTCCTAGAGATCTTCTCATCCTATGCTATGTAACTCTTCAAGGTCTCAGAGATTTCCCAGGAAAAAAATGTGCATCTGTTAAAGCACCATGAATTTCCCAAGTAATCCCACCTGTCAGAATGTTACCCATGCTCCCCCTTCTCGGAGAAATCAGAAGTTCTCCCAGTGAGGCCCCTTGAGGGAGTAGGCACAAGGTCACGGACCAAAGCTCACTCTCTTCTTAGATTGATTCCTGAGCCAAAGGAAGCCAGAGCTGTCCAGGCCCCTCCTAAGACAATGTCACATGTCTTATGTGTCCAGCCTGGCAGGTTCATCTGAGGGTCCTTCCTGGTCACATCCACAAACCACATCATAGCTGGGGGCATCATGGGTTTTACCCTGCTTTATAGAAGTGTCCATTGAGGCTGGCAGAGGGAGTGCAAAGTCAGAATTGCTTCCAGCCTTCCTTGAGAGCTTGCTTGCTCCACCACTTCCTGCAGGATGTCCTTCCCCTAATCCTGCCAGATGGGATCTTGTGCCCTGTGAAGCTCGCACATCCCCTCAGGTGACCCTCTCTCCTTGCTGGGTCAATGGGTTTGTCTGCATTACCCACAAGACCATGAGTTCCTTGGAGCCAAGTGTGGGTGTCCATCATCTCAGATCCCTAGTGTCTACCCCACAACTGAGCTAATGACTTGCCCTCCAAGTGAGGGAGCAAGTGAGGGAATAGGTTGTTTGTTTGTTTTTTTTTTTTTTTTTTTTTTTTTTTGACAGAGAGTCGCTGTGTCACTCAGGCTGGAGTGTAGTGCCATGATCTCAGCTCACTGCAACCTCTGCCTCCCGAATTCAAGCGATTCTTCTGCTTCAGCCTCCTGAGTACCTGGGAACACAGGCTGCACTACCAAGCCAGGCTAATTTTTGTCTTGTTAGTAGAGACAGGGTGTCACCATGTTGGCCAGGCTGGTTTTGAACTCTTAACCTCAGGTGATCCTCCTGCCTTGGCCTCCCAAAGTGCTGGAATTACAGGCGTGAGCCACCATGCCCAGCTGGAATGGGGGAATCTTGAGTGATAAGGAGGCAAGTTCCAAGGAAATTTGAAGGAATTAGAGCAACATTCTTGGACAGTAAGCAGAAACGGGGTCTCTGCAGCTGAGTGAGATCGGCCCTCAAGCTGTCCCTGTGTAGAGCAGAGCTCTGACCAGTAAGAATGTTCTGGGGCCACTGGGTAGCCTAGGGGTGGCCAGCAGCCAGCCAGGATACTGGGACCCAAGGCTGAGCCACCTTTAGCCCTCAAACTTTCTTCTCTTCCTGTACTTGGACCTCTCAGACTTAGAGTCCCTAAGCTCCATGGGGAATGGCTCCAGTGTCCACCCATAGCTTAAAACCCAGGCACTCACCAGGTGCCCAGACATGCCAGGACCATGTCCAAAGCCTGAGTGAGAGCTGTGTTCTGCCACAGCCAGAAGACACAGAGGTTGATGACACAGACTTTGGAATCAGCTGGACTCAGGGATCCCTGGGCAAGTTAGGAAACTCTTTTGAGCTTTAGGTTCCTCGGCCTCATGTAAGACTGATGTGAGGATTAAAGGAGGTAATGTGGGCGAAAGGCCAGGCTGGCATGTGGCACACAGCAGGTGCCTGGCAAAGGGTAGCTGCTGCCTTGACTGCACTCACCCAGTCCAGAGAATGAAGTCTGGCTCCGGGTCGATCTCCTTCATGGCATAGATGGAGGAGTTGATGAGGACCCAGGGAGAATCGCAGAGGTAGTCACCCCAGGGGCCTGCGTTGGGCACTGGCTGGGATCCGGCTGATGGGCACACCTGGAAGGGGTCTTTGGATACCTCATAGTCAGGGTCAAGGTGCAGGTCAGCGATGTGCCAGAACTTCCCTGCAGGGGAAAAGACATCTTCCTTCAAAGCTGGTCTGTCTCTCAGCCTGGAAGCAAGAAAGTCCAGGGGAACCCTGGGCAGGGGCATTACACAGGCAAATAGAAGCCTCCTCTGAACACCCAGGTTCAGAGAAGGGCCCACAGGCCTGGCTCTGCCCAGGGATACACTGAGCAGAGCAGAGAACAGGCTCAGCTCCGTCCCTGGCCCCTGACCTTTGGCAAGGCCCTGTCCTCCCCACATTGGATGGGCAGCCACAGCATTAGGGCTCGAGTGTTCTAAGCAGGGGGCTTGTTTTAAAGCAAAGGCAGGAAAGGGTATGGGTTAAGTGCTCAGGCTCTGAGCCACTTAGGAGCTGTGTGACCTGGGCTATGTCACTTGTCTAAGCCCATTAATTAGAGCCAGATCCTCTCATGCTGCAGGGAAATACGGTTACATATGAAAATCTGACCTGTTCTGGAATTTCTTGTAAAATTAAAAAAAAAAAAAAAAGTCTGACCGGGATAGGGAAGGCTTACATACCAAATGAACTGGAAAACCTTGCTAAGCAATACCAGCAAGGTCTTGGTGCAGTGCTTCATGCCTGTAATCCCAGCACTTTGGGAGGCCAAGGTAAGAGGATTCCTTGAGGCCAGGAGTTCAAGACCAGCCTGGACTACATAGGGAGACCTCATCTCTACAAAAAATTTAGAAAATTAGCCGGGTGTGGGGTCATTCACCTGTGGTCCCAGCTACTCAGGAGGCTAAGGTGGGAGGATCGCTTGAGCCCAGGAGGTGGAGGCTGCAGTGAGCCTTGATCATGCCACTGCATTCCAGCCCGGGTAAGAGAGCAAGACCCTGTCTCCAAAACAAAACAAAAAAACAGCAAAAACCTGGGGCTACGTGTGGAAGTGAGTGTAAGAGCACTAGACCAGAGAAGGAATGCCACTTCAGATCGGGCTAAACTCCTCTGGTAGGTATACTTGCTGGTGATTCTGGATCCGGGGTATGGCTCAAGCAGCTGGGAGTGGTCCTGCTTGCTGAAGTGATTGACAGAAACCTGGACTCAGTTTCCAACCAAAGGATGCTGACGTGACAAAAAACTTCACGGTGTAATAAAGAGAAAGGAATGCAAAGAAATAGGTGGGATGGAGTAGACTTCTCATTTCTCACGTGAACCCCACACAGGGCCTGGCACAAGTAGTTTCTTTTTCTTTTTCTTTTTTTTTGAAACAGAGTTTTGCTCTGTTGTCCAAGCTGGAGTGCAGTGGCACGATCTCAGCTCACTGCAATCTCTGCCTCCCAGGTTCAATCGATCCTCCCACCTTAGCTTCCTGAGTAGCTGGGATTACAGGCATGCATCACCATGCCCAGCTAATTTATTTTTATTTTTAGTAGAAACAGGGTTTCACCATGTTAGCTAAGCTGGTCTCAAACTGACCTCAGGTGATCTGCCTGCCTCAGCCTCCCAGAATGCTGGGATTACAGGTGTGAGCCACCATGCCCAGCCGGCACAAGTTGTTTCAATGACTGCTTACTGAAGGAGAGTTGAGCAGGTCTGGCCTCTGTTCATTCTGTTTTTCGCTAAGACAAAAGTGAGGTCCAGGATTTCCTCACCCTCTGCTATTGCAATCACTTCTTCCTCTATTTCTTGTGTCACTTAGAGCCACAAGTCAACATCACTGGCCCCAGGTAGCTGTGTCTGGGCCTGGGAGACTGGACTTCTTTTGATCTCAGGGTTGGACAGCCAGGGTCCCATCCAGGCCACAGGACATTCAGTGGATGGCCTGCAGATAAAGGCTGGCCCCTGACCCTCACTCCTTAACTTTCCCTTCCAGATGCTCTTGAGCTTTTCCCCACCTCTCCTGATCTAAACTGAGTCTCAGGAAAGGATCTGAAATATGTTCATACTAAAGTGTACACAACTGATTAAGCAAATCATTATCTTTCCCACATGCATTGTTATAGTGTTCTCCGCACAGCCTTGGGAATATTATCCCTACTTTACAGATAAGGAAACTAAGATCTGGAGTTCAACATGCCTAAGATCACATGGAAAATTATGGGGGTCTCCAGGCTCCAATCCCTCCGAGGAAGATGTGATTGCAAAACAGGTAAAACCAGTGCCTTTCTATTTTAGATGGGTCTTTTTGTTGACAGCATGTTCCCACATGTGCACATGGTCCTCACAATTCCTCTGCAGAGAAAGAAGCTATTCCCCTGCCTCAAGCTGGCTATTTCTCAGTTAACTACAAACACTGAGCAGTTTGGTCCCTTTGATGTCAGCCCTCAAAGTATTCAGGAACATTTCTTCACTCCAGAAACTCCTCAAGTGTCAGTTGTCATTTTCTAGCCAGTGAGAAGAACTGAAACTACTTTCCAGCCTCTCTGGTACATCCTTTTTTTT